GAGGCAGAGCTCGTCCCTGCCTCACTTCTCATCGCTACCCGTAGTTGTAGCGGAGCTCGGCAAATTTGCTGATTTTGACTATAAAAAGCGATTGGAATCAAACAGAAATCACACTTACAAGTTACAACACAGATCAGTGGAGACATTTTATTATTATTACTATTTAGTTTTTCGTTAGTTGTTTTTCCGTTACATTGGAGTATGACAGGTGAGGCTCTGCCTCCCCTGACTGTCACTGATATACACACACACACACACACACACACACACACACACACACACACACACACACACACACACACACACACACACACACACACACACACACACACACACACACACACACACACACACACACACACACACACACACACACACACACACACACACACACAGGAGGAGGGAAACATTTACACACAAATGACCTAACGACCCAGGGTCGTAACAGCGTTGTCATCAATTTTCTTCAGCAGGTCCTCTCTGAGAGATTGAATGGCCTGTAGAATGGCGGTCTCATCACCTCGTGCTGCGCTAGCGACTAGGGGCCCTGCCCCAGCACCGTTAGCCGGGCTAGCACTATTAGCTTTCGGATCTGGCGCAGCAGACGCCTTTTTGCGAGAGGAAGACGACATATTTCAAATAAACTGTTGGGCGGAGGCAAGGAAGAACAGCTTAGATTAAAGTTGCTTGCATATAGTGTAGAGCAGGGGTATTCAACTAAAATTCAACGAGGTCCAGTTAGAGAAAATCTTCCCATGCGAAGGTCCGGAACATCAAAATGTCTAACTTGCTTTATGAATTACTGTGATATATATTGAAGTGACCTGTAGCTTTATCAACGTCTGCATGTAATCAACAACTGACTGCCAATCAAATAAAGAAAGTACAATTCATAAACAACAATATTTATTGTCAATTAACATTGAACTAAACAGATATACAGTAAATACTGTGGATATGTGTAATGTTCCTCTCGGGCTGCATTTACAAATAAAATAGAGAAAATAAATAAAATAGCATTTGAAAATATGTGCATCTTAAAAGTGCTTAATTTTAGATAAATAAAATAAAGTGTAGCAGCAGCTTGAGTGTCCCTTTTTCTTTGTTAACCGTTTCACATCATGACTTAACAGTTTCAGCTGATTATAGAACAATATCAGTCTTTACATCATAGCAATTGAACAGTGTTAAAGTTTCTCTTTCTTTCCCTCTTATATTGCAGTCCCTCTCTCACTTTGTTTAATTCAGTGCGAGAATTGAGCTGGAGCTTGTCCTGCCAGGAGTTTGTAAATCTGGGCTGAAATGGTGTCAGGGCCATTCTCATACACATGCAGGTGCTCATTGGTTTCAGTGATGCAAACACAGGTATGGTGAAAAAAGAGAGAACTATTCGAAGCAGAAAAAAACTGCGTAATATACCATCTGACAAAGGCCTGTGCTATAATGCTTCAATTAACTGGCTATTCTTTATAATATACTCAGATCAATAGGAGACAGAGATGTTAAGTTATAAATCAAGGGTTTTTATAATTATTTACAGCAGGGGTGGGGACCTTTTTTCCTTTCAATTTTTACAACATCCTCCGAGGGCCGTACAAATGATTGAACTCAACCTCTGCTTAAAAAAACTAAAATCACAGCCCATTCATTTGGCCTTTCCTTCATTCTGTGCAAAGAAAAAGCAACCTCTGAATCCAGATATCTCACCATGACTCACGTATGCATGCACGTGCACGGTGTGGCATGCATGCACGTGCACGGTGTGGCATGCTTGCACGTGCGGCATGCATGCACGTGCACGGTGTGGCATGAACAACAACACAGAAAGATATGGACACAAGATGTGTGCAAATGTATTTAGTTTCCTATCCATGTGGACATGATTTAAGTGGGGGGGGATCTAACATCCTCTAGGGGGGTCCGGGGGCATGCTCCCCCGGGAAGATTTTTTTTTAAATATTGAAGTTAAAAGCATCAATCTGGTGCACTTTGAGAGCAACATGAAGAGATCTATGGATACATCTCTCAACACCCATATGAAACAGAACTGTGAGTATATTTTTCTTTTTGGATATTTTACAAATCACTCCCCTTTTAAACTCTATTCTTGTTATTTTAACAACTTTTTTGTTACTGTCATATAGTATTTTATACCTGTTTTTCATTTAGTCTCATTAATAACTATAATGATCATATCAAGGGTTTGTTTTAAAGCTGTCTGACCGAAATCATCATTGAACCAATGTGATACTGTTGAAGGACATACATACATTGCTGTCTTAATCCATGTCCCCTGGATCTCCCCTTTTCATCAAGGGGCCAATAAATACTTCAGTGGTTTATTTCCACCCAGTCATTCACCCACCTGCTCCTGTTTCACGCCTGTTCCCTCCATTAAGTTTGACCTTGCTGAATTGAAACATTGTTTATAAATGTTCTTTTTCCCATGAAACCAGTCTTGTTATTCTCCCTGTCGGTCACAAAGGCTTTTGTTAATCTGGATATCCTGACCTCATAAATATTTCCTTTCTTCCTCTCGACCATGGCTCATGTGGGCACATACAGTACACATCACAATTGTGTGTAAAGATAAGTGTACAATGTCTCTGATGTAACACTGATTTGTCCTTTACCCTCATAGGTAGAAACACAAATTCATAGACCTGCTTTATATGATGAACCAGCTGTTTCCTGTTATGCCATGCAAACATGTCTCAGTTGTGTTTTTCCAACTGGTTACCAGGGATCCAACGAGTGCTTATGTCTCGCCGTCACTTAAATGGAAGACTTCATTTTCCCCTCTTTGTTTCAGTAATTCCATGAAAGTGTACAGAACGAATGTAGTTAATCTGCCAGAGCTGTTGTTGCAGCGATGTTAAATAACGTGTTGTGATGCATCGTCGTCATAATGATGGATCCTCCATTAGAGACAGCCCAGTCAGCAGTATTTGTCTGTTAATAACACCAACTGTCTGCTGCTGCTGGGCTGGGGGCCCTCACTTCTGGAGGGAAAAGGCTTGTAGAGTACTGCAGACCCTGCACAGAGCCCCCTGCAGACCCCATTAATCAAGGGGTCCTGGGCAATGTGAGTATTCTCCTTACTGTCGATTGATTTTACAGTGATATCTGCACTACTCATCAACTCAAAAACACCAGATTATCCTTGTTAATTACACAACATTGATTGGTTTAAATTGTGTACAATGCTTTTGTATTTTTCCCCTTCGATTCGGAGAAACAAATGTTTTTTAGGAGTTTTGGATGGCAGAAGACACTACACTACCCAGAATCCTCAGCTATCGTTTAGGACTACACCATGCGCTTTGCTTGACAAACCCCTTGATTAGTCCTCAAGCTCTATGATTGGATGTTGGAACGCAGTGCGCGAAGTTTACGCCGAGTGTCAAACAGCACTTTGAAATGGAATGCAACCCATCGACGGCACACTATTCAAAACAGGACTCGAACGTGTCCACCCCCCCCACACACACTTTTATTGGTCATGCGTACATAGCTACAGTGTAGTTATGACGATGAAATATTAGGTCACAGTGCAAAACAATAAAAGAGATACACAGAAAAAATAGTGCAAGTAAATACAAAAAGAAAAATAGTGAAAAAGTGCAATAAGAGTCGATATACAAGTGATTGGAATATGATATATTAGACAAATAATTTCTAAGTAGCAGCCAGATCAATGTTATGGATGTTGTTTCTAAGTTCAGGTGTTTCATAGTCTTATGGCCTGTGGGATGAAGCTGTCCCTGAGTCTGGTGGTTTTAGTCCGGATGCTGCGGTACCTGCCTGCCAGACGGCAGCAGACAGAACAGTTTGTGGCTGGGGTGATGGGGGTCTTTGATAATCCTGAGGGCTTTCTTTAAGGTTAACGTGGTGTTTTTACTCCACTACATTTATTTTAGTTACTTTACAGATTTGGATTAATGATGTGAAATATAAACAACCCTTAAATCAGACTTTAGTTACACCTGAGTAAAATTCAGGTAAGGTGATTGTCAAGTGCCAACAATCAGGAGAGATATTTGATAGTTGGTGCTCGAGAAGACTAAACATTTATCTGCAGATCCCTATAAAGTATATTCATTACTCGTTATTCTCTACTAATAGTTAATTAAAGACTGTATAATGGCTATTTTGCACATCCCTTTCAAGATTTTCTAAGGTTTATTGACATATCATATACACAACTACAGTGTAGTTATGCAATGAATGACAAACTTGGGTTGTAGGTTCCTCAACAGCGCATTACAAGACATCTATCAATATGTGTGTACCTCCACCATTAAACTGTCAAATTCTGCACATTTCTTATACTATCTACATACATCTTATAAGAGTATAATATTATGTATAATATCAGTTAACCTCTTAAGCCCTGATCCTGTTTTTCAGGTTTCAGGCTCGAAAATGCTATGCCCAAAACAAATGACTATAACTTAACTTCTAAAAGGGTTATATGAATAATTTATGTTATAAAAGCAAGGTTACATCTGTGAGTTGGATGTAGAAGTGTCAGAATCAATATAGATATTTCTGTGTCAGAGTAAATTCAGATGGAACATAGTAAAAAAAGGTAAATTCTTACCTCCGCCTAAAAAAACCCCATTACTTATAATAAGTACCCTGTATCAAGATTGAGGCAAAACAAGTGAAATTTGACCTTTTCAGAGAGGTTTAGCAAAAAGAAGTCCAGACTGACCTTTGGGCACATTTGGATACCATCAGTGCCATTTGACCTTTTTCAGGTACCATACTGTAAAAATAATTTTATTATCACTATAGGTAATCATTCCATCCAAATACAAGTGTTTTTATAAAAAAAAACATTATTTTTAATTTTTTTTGAATTACATTTCTTTTTTAATGTAAATGGTGTGTGTGTGTGTGTGTGTGTGGACTTTGCCACAGTCCTTACATGTTTATCACCCGACTAACACTTCTAGGAAGGTTTACTTACACAATAACAATTAGGAAACATAGGATAAATGTGTCTCCAACAGGAGCAGATTTATTTCAAAAATAACACACAAAAAAACTACACTAAAACCGAAATAACACCATAAGCATTTTTTTTGTAAACACTGGCAAAAAAGAAAAAATGTACACAACCTGAATGTGTTCAGTGTTTTTGAATTGAGGCACCAGGCACTTAGTGCAGTAGATAGGTCTTCACCGTTGTGTTGCCAGCATCAGAGCACCTCCTGAGCGCGGTGGCATCTTCCCCATAATACTTGGGAATGCATAAGAGTGATGATGGGGGGGGGAGTGGTGGTGGTGCTGCAGGGACTTCACCCCTCATGTCTGCAGCAAGCTGCTCCCTGAAGGACTTCTGGGTGTGTGGCTTCGTCCTGCTGGGGTCACCCCTCATCTTGTGCAGCTCCTTGTGGAAAAGGAAGCTGTTCACCACTGCAATGTAACATTGAGGGACCATGGTTCAGAATCAGAAGATGCAGAGGGAGGCTGAGTTAGTACTGGTGCAGACGTCCGGCGGCGTAGCTTGGATGTTGATGGCTCTGGGGCAACTGTATGCTGATCTGATGCACGTCGTAGCTCGGATGAGGCAGATGTTGATGGCTGTGATCCAGAAGCCATTTGATACTCGTCTTCATCACTGTGAAAACAAATGTGGAAAAAACAAAATCGATTACTTCACTGACTTATTCTTTCAAAAATGTAACTCAAATCAGAAATAATTCCTCCATTTAGCATGTGTGAAATAACAGTATATACACATATATATATATATATATACACACATATATATTTAGACTGGGTTGATATATACAATACAGCTTTATTTATAAACTGCTAATAGTCAATGTCTGTAGAACTACAAAACAGCATCCATTTGGCGTGTGTGAAATAACAGTATATATTAATGCTGTCAAAATTATCGCGTTAACGGCGGTAATTAATTTTTTGAATTAATTGCGTTAAAATATTTAACGCATTTAACGCATGTATCCCACCATTGGCAGCGCCAGGGTATGGCTGGGGTAGGCTACAGCCATACCAAGAAATGGCTTAGCCCCACCATGAAAAATGATGTTAAAGTAAGCAAAATAAAGTCTGCCAACTCGCGGGGAGTAAATTGCACAGACAGCAGTCAGTAAGATTGATTTCAGTAGCCACTTGTCTGGAAATACCAAAGACCAGAAACGGTTTTGAAAACTTTTGTCACGTAGTGATCGTCTTCTCAATAGAACATCTTTGATAATGTCTTCTGGCCAATCAGAATCAAGATAACGGCGTGGTGTTGTTGCAGGAAGTCCCGACGGAGAATACTTTTGCTGTAGTACAGGGGTGCACATAACTGGTACGCAGGTTATGTGCGTAATCTGAAATGCGTACCGTCACTTGTGTCACAAAGCGCATTTGCGTACCGACGTATTTGTGAAGCTTTTCCAGAAGGTGGTTAGATCACCGGACGACAGAGTCGGTCTCCGTGTGCACAGACAGGCTGCTGTTAACGTCGGTCTCTGTACAACGGAATTGTGCCAAAACTACGCCAACCGGCTGTGGAGGGAGACTGTTTCAGTCTGCAGCTTTATTCCGTAACTCACAACTCCATCACATGTATATTCCCGCGCTTGCGGATATAGTACATCACAGTGTAAGCCTGTGTCAGCATGCAGTTTACTAAAGCGCCAACAGGCGTCACTATATAGCAGGCATTAACAGATGCCCATATCTGTAACATCTCCTTTCCTTTAGCTGTAAACAACATCAGCATATCACTTTAAAGTGCAGGTAAGAGCTACATTGTGTAAAGCTAACACTTTAACATTGTCAACCTCCAATACATGAAAACAATTACAATACTGATTAACCATGCAAGTACTGATACAAAACTAAAATAATATCCAACAATTCTTTTTTTTTCTTTTTTCTTAACAGTCCAACAGACTTAGTGACAATGTTCCCAGTTGTATCACAGGTTCAGTCTCTGCGGCGGCCGTAACAGGCGACCACACCGCGAGTATACAGCTTGGCTCTCTGTACTCACTGGCTTCCCTGGTGTCAAACCCCGCCCTTGCGCCGGGACCCCTGGAGAGTGAGGAGGCTCCCCCAAACCTGTGTCATCCTGGACCGGGTCGGTTCGAGCTCCACCTGCAGCCCTCTCTGCGTTGACATGGCCCCGGTCCGTGTGGCTGCTCTGCTCCGGCCCTACCAGCTGTCGCATCCGGGCTGAGTGCTCCGCAACACGCAGATCCACCCGGTTTCTCCTGTAGAGCGTGCCGTCCACCTCCACTACGAATGCGCGAGGAGCGACTTTCTGGAGTCATTGACCCAGTTGCCAACGGCCTGTGCGATCTCCTGGAAGAGGCCTCATCCTTATGTGTTCCCCAACATTCAGTTCTGGTAAGTCCCTTGCCGATATGTCGTAGGCGGATTTTGCAAGCCGCCGTTTCAACCGCAGCTTCTCCGTCACTCCCGTCACTAACCACGGTTGCAGCAAGCTGTCCGCAACCGGCAGCGAAGTCTTCAGCCTTCGTGACATTAAGCGTTGGGCTGGACTGCTGTCCAACCCCTCTGTGGGCGTGTTGCGCCAATGGATAATGGCCTGCCATTTATCCGTGCCATCCAACTTTGCCCGCTTGCAGAGTGATTTCACTATCTTGACAGCTGACTCAGCTTTGCCGTTTGATTTTGGATATGGATGTGACATGGTTAAATCCCCACTTTGCAGCAAACTTCCTGAACTGTTCACAGGCAAACTTTGGGCCATTATCTGTGAGCACTTTGTCTGGCTGTCCGTAGCATGCAAATTGAGATTTACAGCGTGTGATGAGAGTGTCAGCTGATAGATCCGGCAGAAGATCAATCTCCCAGAAGTCTGAATAGTGGTCCACTAGGACGATGAAATATTGGCCAGCGTAAGAGAAGATATCCATACTCACTGTTTGCCATGGACGTGTTGGGATATCATGCGACATCAATGATTCCTTCTGCTGGGCTCGTGCATATTCATTGCATGCAGAGCAGTTCGACACATAGTCTTTTATCTCTGTTCTCATGTTTGGCCAGAACAGCGTATCCCTGGCGCGCCTGTAACATGCCTCCCCCCCGATGTGGCTGGTGTGTATGTGTCTTAACAACTCTGCCCTCAAGGCCTTAGGGATAACAACGCACTGCCCTCTGTATAGCACACTGTTTTGCACGTTGAGCTCATCCCTGAAGGGCCAGTATTCTCACACCAAGAGGGGGGTGTCCTCTTTGAAATCAGGCCATCCCCTGAGGATTACTGATGTCAAAGCTTGTAATACATCGTCCATCTCTGTGTGCTGGGCAATTTGGCGAAACCTGAAGTCAGTAACATCCAGATGCTGTGCCTGATCCAGCTCTGAGTCCTCCACCTGAAAGCTGTCCATGGAACACACCGCCTGTCGTACATAGGGGGTGTCGGAACTCTGGATCGTTACAGGCTTTGTGACGTCATAATATTTGAGAACCGGCGTGTTGGTGACCATCCGCTTTATCTCGCGTATTGCATCATCGTGTTTTGGCAGCCAGTGCCATGCTGTGTCCTTATCCAGGAGTCTGCGAAGAGGCTCACAGATCTCCGATAGCCCTGGCAGGAACTTAGCCAGATATGTCACAAACCCGATCATGCGTTGCACTGCCTTAGCATCCGTGGGCGTCGGCATGTCCAACACTGCTTGAGTTTTCTCTGGGTCGATTTTCAGTCCTTCTGTAGACAGTACATGGCCGTGGAAATGTACAGCTTTGAGCTTGAACTGCAGCTTGCGTTCACTCAATCTGAGCTTCACAGCCCTGCACCGTTGCATGAGAGCTCTTAAGTTGGTGTTGTGGTCCTCTTCAGCCTCTGCGTCCGTATCGCCACACCCGACCACCAGGATGTCATCCGCAATAGGCTCGATGCCAGCCAGGCCTGATAGCAGCTCATGTTGCTTGCGCTGATAGATCTCTGGCGCCACTGAGACTCCAAACGGGAGTTTGAGCCATCTCATCCGACCCCATGGGGTCCAGAATGTCGTCAAGCGGCTGCTTTCCTCATCAAGCTTGCACTGGAGAAAGGCGTCACGAGCATCAACCAGTGTGAAGACACGAGCCTTGGGCAGTTTGTACAAGACGTCTTCTAGCGTTGGCATGTGGTAATGGGACCTGAGAAGTGCCTGATTGAGAGGCTTTGGGTCAATGCAGATTCTTATCTTGTCTGGTTTAGCTACTGTCACCATGTTGCTTATCCACGCTGTTGGCTCTGTCACTGGCGTAAGGTTGCCTGCTTTCACATGTTTGTCCAGCTCTTCCTTAACCCGGGCTTTTAGCGCTACAGGGACATTTCGTGGTGAGCACTGGACTGGTGTCACTTCAGGGTTCAGATCGAAATGAATATTACCTGGGACTGACTCGATCGGGTCATGGAAAACATCATGAAAGTCTTTCAGTAGCATTTCTTTTGTGAGTGGCATAGACTGGCTTGCATCAATAGTGTTCACCTCCGCTGGCAGTAGTTCTCTTGGAATAGTGCATTTCACAAGGCCCAGATCAGTGCATGCAGCACCACCGAGCAGGGGCTTTTGTTTGGTGTTCACTATCTCAAACACAAGTCTGTGTATTTTTCCCCTGACCACACAGTCAGTGTGAAATTTCCCCAGGGATGGCATGTATGTATCAGAGTACAGCTTTAGCCTTGTTCTGGTCGGCTGTAAGGCTGTCTTTGGTGACAGTTTCTCTTTAAACTGGCGGCCCATAACATTGCAAGTGGCCCCTGTATCTAGCTGGCATAGCTGTCTTTTCTTATTCAGGCGTAGGTGTACAAACCATTTGCGTCCAGGTGCTTTCACATTCCCCACATATTCAGTGACATTGTATAGGTTTTCATCATCCTCAACAACATTAACTTTTCTTGTTTTCTCTGCTCTGCTGCTGGCCTGACATACTTTTGCAAAGTGATTTGAAACGCCACATGCTCTGTAGGTCTTACCATAGGCTGGGCACTGCTCTCTGCCCCGTTTGTGTCCATTTCCACAGTATTTGCAGGTCCACTGCTGCTCTCTCTCAGCCGCTGTGTTTCTTTCAGCTGTTTTCCACTGTACTTTGCGTCGTCCGCCTTGCCTGTCCACCATAGAATTAATACTGTCCACCTGTGCCTGCGGGCTCTCAATAAGCCTCATGCGTGACTCCGTCAATTCTGCAAGGCGGCAAATCTCCACAGCTGTTGGCAGCGTTAGGTCCCGTTCACGCAGCAGTCTCCGTCTGGTGCTCTCGCTGGCAATACCGAGTACCAGCCTGTCCCTAATCAGTTCATCTTTTAGGTCACAGTACTCACATGATGATGCTTTTTCCCTCAGCTTTGTTATAAAGCTATCGATCGGCTCGTCCGGTCCTTGTTTGCAGCATCCAAACGTGTATCTCTCATAAATCACATTTTTTGCCGGCTTGAAATAATCCCCCAACGCATCCAAGATTGTTTTGGGGTCTTTCTTTTGTTCCTCGGTCAGCGTGACGTTGTGCATATATATATGCCGGCACTCGTTCCCCATAAGCCGTCTCAGCCATGTTGTTAGCCACCCTGCTAGCATATCAACGGCTAAAGCTACAACGGAGCCAAAATTGAAAGAAACAGACTAAGAAATGACGTAAGCTCCATGATCAAACCTGCCAAAAAGAATTTCATCAATGTCAAAACTGAGGAAAACAAAAATAAACCCCGTGAACTTTGGAAATTACTCAATAACCAGCTTGCCTGCAGTAAAAAACTCAAAACGAGATTTTCTAACTTAAACATAAAGACAGATAACAGGCTCATCACAGACAAACTGGATGTGGCCAAGTACTTGAACATTTTTTTCACAAACATAGCCACAACTCTTGTAAATAAATTACCCTCCCACTCAGGGCTTTTTGGAGTAGATCACATCATGACCTACTACAAAAACCTAGGGGTACGCAAAGATGATTTCAGTCTAGCAAGGGTAACAACAGCAGAGGTACTCATTAAACTGAGCGCCCTCCAACCTAACAAGGCCACTGGCCACGACAATATCCCCTCCAAATTCCTCAGAGACACAGCAACCGCCATCTCACCAGTCATAGCTCACATAAAACCTCTCCATAAAACAGGGAAAAGTACCCAAAGACTTCAAAATTGCAAGAGTAACCCCCCTGCACAAAAAGGGCAGCAAATTGGACCCAGGCAACTACCGCACTGTTTCTATACTTACCTCCATCTCGAAAGTCATGGAAAAAATAGTATATGAACAGGTCGAAACGTACCTCGCGGAAAAGAAACTAATCTATGAATTTCAATCTGGCTTTAGAACATCCCACTCCACTGACACATGCCTTCTTTATTTGAGCGACCACATCAAACAAGAGGTGGACGAGGGCAAGTACTGCGGCATGGTGATGCTGGACCTACAAAAGGCTTTCGACACTGTCAATCACCCCATTCTGATTGACAAGCTAAAAGCAATTGGTTTTGATAAACTATCGGTGAGCTGGATGCAATCCTACCTGGAGGGGAGAGAACAGATGGTGGAGGTAAACGGTACTCTGCCCCCCCCCCCTCCCAGTGAGCTGTGGTGTTCCACAAGGAAGCATATTAGGTCCGTTACTGTTCCTAATTTATGTAAATGACATGTCATCAGCATGTGACTGCAACTTGTTCCTGTTCGCGGACGACTCAGCCCTGCTGGTCTCTGACAGGAGCAGGTTGCAGGTTGAAAAAACCCTCAGCTCCGAGCTCGGCAGAATCTGCACCTGGCTCGCCGATAATAAATTATCATTACACCTGGTAAAACAGAGTCCATTCTCTTCGGTTCGAAACATAATCTCAGCAAATCCGACGACTTCTCAGTTGCAGTGGGCGACATTATTGTCACAAGTAAGAAGGAAATTACATACCTAGGATCTATTCTTGAGGCAAACCTCTCCTGTGACAAAATGGCATCCAATGTAATAAAAAAAGTCAATCAAAGAACTAGATTCCTATACCGGATCTCCTCTCTGGTAAACAAAAACACCCTGAAGACTCTGGCAGGAGCACTCATTCAAGGGTACTATGACTATGCTTGCACGTCATGGTACCATAGCACCTCCAAGGCGCTAAAAATAAAACTTCAAACATCGCAAAATAAACTGGTCAGACTACTGCTTGACCTTTCATCTAGAACCCACCTCACCTCTGCCCACTTTGACAACCTAGGATGGCTTAGAGTAGACGACAGAGTACAGCTACTTGCAATGGGACTGGTCTACAAGATCCACTACACCTCTATGGTACCCATGTACATGTCAACATTCTTCCCAAAGGTCAAGGAATACCATGATCATAACACCAGAGGGAGCTCCACAAATCATGTGAAACCCAGATTTGGCACAAAAAAGGGGGAATACACGTTTCGCAATTATGCCACATCAAGGTGGAACGCTCTTCCCACAACTGTAAAGGAAAGTAAAACTATACTTACCTTCAAAACCTCTCTTAAGAGCACCTTCGGGGGAGAGCATTGCAAAACTGGCCCCGGTAATGGTACAAATCTCAACCTGTCGTTCAATGGACAGCTTCCCCCCCCCCCCATCTATGTATATACTCGCATTTTAGACTCTGTTACTAACTGTATATCTGTAGACTTGGTATGTCTTAAATGTCCGGTTAGGATGTATTAGAACCAAATCTAAAATGTAAATTGTAAATAAGCCATCTGTATGTCAAATATGTCTTATATGTCTTAAATGACATGATGAATTGGAAATGGGGGACCCTGATGTAAACAAGACGAAAGTCTTTCTCTGGTCTGCATCCCCTTAACAATTGTATGTTTTGAGCTGTACTGTACTGTACCCAATATACAAGCTGTTAATAAACTTTTCAATCAATCAGCGTGGCTGCCTGCACCGCATTCCTTTTTTCGGTCAGACCTGTAGCGAGCATAAAGTCCTCAAATTCTGCTCTAAAAACCTCCCAGTTTTTGGCTATATCACCAGACATATGCATGCCCTCGGGTGCCGGAATACTGTTTGTCGTCATGACGTGAGTTTTCTTGAGCTTTTAGTCCAAGAAGACCACTTCTGACACCATGTTTCAGTCTGCAGCTTTATTCCGTAACTCACAACTCCATCACATGTATATTCCCGCGCTTGCGGATATAGTACATCACAGTGTAAGCCTGTGTCAGCATGCAGTTTACTAAAGCGCCAACAGGCGTCACTATATAGCAGGCATTAACAGATGCCCATATCTGTAACAGAGACTCCCCCCCCTTCACTGGAGAACTGCGCTAAAACAGCTGATCGCAACGTTCACACTCTGTGGTCAGGAAGTACTCGACTTTCCTGAAGTACTCCCCCGTTGATAGAAATCAACACGTAATGAATTAACACCCCACGGTTTGATGATTGATAGGTGTGTGGGCTGTCTTTCATTTTGACATGCAGAATTTGTTTATAATAAACATAGATACTGTATGTTAAATGGATATATCCGCCTTCTTTCATTTATCTTTCCATTCCCACAACAATATACATAAATAAATGGCATATTTTGGACATAGTTCGAATGGTGATTAATCATGATTAATTAATTTTAAAACTGTGATTAATCTGATTACAATTTTAATCGTTTGACAGCCCTAGTGTATATATATATATATATATATATAGACGGGTTGCTATACAATACAGCTTTATTTATATACTGCCGTGTCACGAAATACAATTAATCTATTTATACGTTCAGCAACATGATGTTCCCATTGTTTTAGTTTCTCACGGAACGATAACGCTACAACAACAAAGCGGCGTCCATTTTGTATTTTGCGAGTGTGGAATTACTATAGATTACACTAAATACACAACTAATAGATACAAACAGAGAGAGTACATACGTTTCCTGAAGTTCATAATCAGGGTCTGATTGAGGCCGAAGTACATCCTCATCTTCTGACGGAGAGTCAGCGAACACCATTTCCATGGCGTCTTGTTAACTGTGATGGTTATTCTCGCGTCCAGGAAAGAGAAGCTTAAAAAGGAGACTAAATGGAGTCTCTGAGATGTTTTCAAATTGGCACTTTAATTAATAAAAAAGGCGCGGTAAAGTCACAAACAGGATATTTGTCCGCTGGAGAGAAAGTCTGCAGCTTCCTCTCCAGTTGCCGGCCGTGCAGAAGAGAGCGTACAAGCATTCGTCCTTCCCGCTTCCTCGCTGTTCGCTCCTCCTCTCTGTGAGCTGTAGTGACGTAAGGGACTTCCCCCTCGGTCTCCTGTGTCCGATATCACGTTAAACAGAGGATTTCGACATTTTACATTCATTGCTTACTTCCACATGCCTTTTCTCCTCCTTATCTCTTTCATAACTTTATATGTAATACATGTTAACGGCGTCAATAGCCACTTTAATGATACTAATGGGCGGTAGTCCCGGATGTCGTCATGAAGGATTTTCAGAATAAAAGCTTGGTATTGAGAACTTCCGTTTTTTTCCAGAATAAAATAGCATTTAAACTGACGGTATGTTTAAGGTAGATTATGCCATAAAACATTGATTTTAATTTCTAACAGTCTTCAAGCTTATACAGCCTCTTTCTGGGTGCCATTATTTGCTCGAATAATCCAATCCAATCCAACTTTGTTTATATAGCACTTTAAAACCTTCAGACCAAAGTGCTGTACAGAGAGATAAGCTCACACAACATAATATAAATACATTTAAAATACAAGATACAAACACAAAACAAACCAGAATAAACGTAATAATTAAAAAATAAATAACAGCCATATAATAAAAACAATAGAACACTGAAAGCAAATAAAACCAACAATCTACTTGTTTCCGAATGCTAAGGAGAAGAGGTGGGTTTTAAGACGGGATTTAAAAGCAGACAGTGTGGGAGCCTGTCTGATGAGCAAGGGCAGGTTGTTCCACAGTTTAGGGGCGGCAGCAGATAAAGCACGGTCCCCTCTGTGCTTAGACTTTGTTTTTGGAGCAACTGATCAGCTGACCTGAGAGTGCGAGTGGGCGTGTAGCTGTGTAACAGCTCAGAGAGGTAGGGCGGGGCCAGGCCATTGAGGGCTTTAAAAGTAAATAAAATAGTTTTAAAATGAATCCTCAAATGAACGGGCAGCCGGTGGAGTGAAGCTAAAATGGGGGAAATGTGCTTGTGTTTGCGTGTGCCAGTTACCGTGCTGCTGCATTTTGCACCATCTGCAGGCGTTCAAGCGAGGATGCACTTATCCCCATATATAGTGCATTACAATAATCCAAGCAGGAGGTGACGAAGGCATGTATTACCGTTTCAAAGAGGTCACTATTTAAAAAAGGCTTTATTTTTTGCTAGCTGCCTGAGGTGGAAGAAGCTGTTTTTAACAACTGCCTTGATCTGGCTGTCAAGCTTGAGTTCAGGGTCCATCTTTATCCCAAGATTTGTGATGGTAGGCCTGGTGGAGTGGCCCAGGGGTCCTAGGTCTATAGGAGTGGTTCGAGGGGCACCAAAAACCATCACTTCGGTTTTGTCATCATTTAATTTTAAAAAGTTGCATGACATCCAGGATTGAATGTCTTCAAGGCAGTTTAACAGCGGTTTAATTGAATATGAGTCGTTCTTTTTAAGTGGCACATATATTTGGCAATCGTCTGCATAGCAATGGAAAGCGATACCGTGCTTCCTAAGAATGGACCCAAGAGGGAGCAGCTACAGGGAGAACAACAGGGGGCCTAACACTGAGCCCTGTGGAACCCCACAAAGGAGAGGAGCAGACGAGGACTCAGAGTCCCCAAGGCTGACACAGAAAGTCCTACCAGTCAGATACGACCTAAACCATTCAAGGGCTTTGCCCCTAATGCCCACCCACTGCTCCAAACGAGCTATCAGGATTTCATGGTCCACTGTATCAAAAGCGGCCGTTAGATCAAAGAGTAAAAGGATAATGCATTCACCTGAGTCTGTTGCTAAAAGGATATCATTACAAACTCTTAAAAGAGCTGATTCCGTGCTGTGCAAGGTTTTAAAACCAGATTGGAAGACCTCGAGTACCTTGTGCTCTTCCAGAAAAGCGAGAAGTTGACTGTATACAATCTTCTCTAGGATTTTGGACATAAAAGGCCATTTGGAAATGGGCCTAAAGTTTGCAAAAACTGTGGGATCCAGACTAGGTTTCTTAATAAGTGGTTGTCCAACGGCATGTTTCCAATTTTCCGGAACAACCCCTGTGAGCAGACTGCTGTTAAAAACGTCAAGAACAAAAGGTCCTATAGTGGGGAATACCTCTTTAAAAAATCGAGGAGGGACAGGGTCGATTGGAGAACCAGAGGGCTTTATTTTGGAGACAATCTCCTGCACAGAGGACAGAGTCATAGGCTCAAAACGGTCAAAAACAGCAAAGCAGAGGGCAGAGACAGAGGTGTCGTTTGATTGAGCACTGTGTGAGTCCTAGTTGAAGTGACTTTATTAATAAAAAATTGAAGAAAATGTTCACAGACTGCAGGGGAGGTCTCCACACAGGTAGTCTGAGGGGCATTAAGAGCTGAATCTATTGTCTGAAATAGTACACAAGGTTTGTGACAGTTTAAAAGAATGATGTCAGAGAATTTTTTTGCCATAGGTTTCTCAGGACAACACACATGAATATTAAAATCCCCAACAATAAGGACACGGTCATATTGCGGCATCATTTCAGCCAGAAAGTCAGAGAAATCATTTAGGAAGTCCTTATTGTATTTAGGAGGTCTATAGTGACGGGTGGCGCAGTGGTCTGTGCGTTTGATCATCAGATCAAGGGGGCGTTCAACAGCTCTATGCCAATTGTGGGATGTCATCATATGCCGTTGCCATGGCGACAGATCCCTCGCCATGAAATATGGTGTTGTTGTAATTCAATGGGAAATCGTCCAAACGGCACCAGACTTCAGACTATCATTAATGGTCCGGCCCTCAACAGCTCTATGTCAATTAGGGGATGTCCTCATATGCCGTTGCCATGGCAACGCGTCCCTCGCCAATAAACCTGGTGTTGTCGTAATTCAATGGAAAATCGTCCAAACACCACCAGACTTCAGACTATCATTAATGGTCCGGCTCTCAACAGCTCTATGTCAATTAGGGGATGTCATCATATGCCGTTTCCATGGCGGCAGATCCCTCGCCATGAAACACGGTGTTGTCCTAATTCAATGGAAAATCGTCCAAACGGCACCAGACTTCAGATGATGGCTAATGGTCCAGCCCTCAACACCTCAATATGACAATAGTGAGTTTTCCTCAAAGGATGTTGCCATAGCAACGCTTCCCTCGCCATTAAGCACAATATTGCTATAACTCGTGTGTAAATGGTAAAAAAGTGTTCAAATTTCACATATGTGCTAACTGTCAAGCCCTCGAGACATATATGTGTAAGTTTTGAGATTTCGTCAAATGTCGTTGCTATGGTAACAAAATGGTCGCCGTGAAACACAATTTTCTCATAACTCCAGTTAACAGGCTCCAAACGGCACAAAACTTCACAGGTTTGATAACGATGCAGCCCTCAACACAACTAAGCATATTATGGGGTGTCATCAAATGCCGTTGCCATGGCGACAGATGACCCGCCATCAAACACAATGTTTGTGTTACTGCTGTAATTCAAAAACATTGTCCGATCGGCCTGAAACTTCCCACGTTTGCCAACGGCCGAGTCCTCGAGACATCTAGACACACACGTCGACGTGCGGACAACAGCCTGCGGAGCGTCGAAGACCCGCTCAACGCTGCTTGCAGCTTTAATTATTATTATTATTATAGACCACTGCACACAGCACTGTGTGAGAGCGGCCAAGCTCGAACACGCTCAGTTCAAAGCTGCAAGGAGAGAATGACAGCGATAGTTGCTGACATTTAAAATCACTCCTGAAAACTGTAGCTACTCCTCCGCCTCGGCCCGAAGTCCGTGGAGAGTTAAAATAGCAGCAATCTGGAGGTAAAAGTTCGGTAAAGGCGCTGGACTCACCAGTACCGAGCCATGTCTCAGTGACGAAGAGGAAATCCTGTCCTCTTCATTTCATTTCAAACCTTTATTTATGCTCAAGTAGTTCCACATGAAACATAAAAACTAGGGCTGTCAAACGATTACAATTTTTAAATCAGATTAATCACAGCTTAAAAATTTATTAATCATGATTAATCACCATTCGAACTATGTCCAAAATATGCCATTTCTTTATGTATATTGTTGTGGGAATGGAAAGATTAATGAAAGAAGGCAGATATATCCATTTAACATACAGTATCTATGTTTATTATAACATTTTTCTGTGTGTCAAAATGAAAGACAGCCCACACACCTATCAATCATCAAACCGTGGGGTCTTAATTCATTACGTGTTGATTTCTATCAACGGGGGAGTCGACAGGGGGGGGGGGGGAGGGCGGCGGCTAGTGGAGTACTTCGTGACCACAGAGTGTGAACATTGCGATCAGCTGTTTTAGCGCAGTGCTCCAATGAAGGGGGGGAGTCTCCCTCCGCAGCCGGTTGACGTAGTTTTTTTCTTTTTTTTTTCACAATTCCGTTGTACAGACCGACGTTAACAGCAGCCCTGTCTGTGCACACGGAGACCGACTCTGTCGTCCGGTGATCTAACCGCCTTCTGGAAAAGCTTCACAAGTACGTCGGTACGCAAATGCGCTTTGTGACACAAGTGACGGTACGCATTTCAGATTACGCACATAACCTGCGTACCAGTTATGTGCACCCCTTTACTACAGCAAAAGTATTCCCCGTCGGGACTTCCTGCAACAACACCACGCCGTTATCTTGATTCTGATTGGCCAGAAGACATTATCAAAGATGTTCTATTGAGAAGACGATCACTACGTGACAAAAGTTTTCAAAACCGTTTCTGGTCTTCGGTATTTCCAGACAAGTGGCTACTGAAATCAATCTTACTAACTGCTGTCTGTGCAATTTACTCCCCGCGAGTTGGCAGACTTTATTTTGCTTACTTTAACATCATTTTTCATGGTGGGGCTAAGCTATTTCTTGGTATGGGTGTAGCCTACCCCAGCCATACCCTGGCACTGCCACTGGTGGGATGTATGGGGCGGGCCATAGCCTACTGCACATGCGTTAAATGCGTTAAATATTTTAACGCAATTAATTAAAAAAATTAATTACCGCCGTTAACGCGATAATTTTGACAGCATTAATAAAAACATAAATAGAACAACAAAAGGACATCATACAGCATCATTTACATAATTATCCACATAAACAGGTACCAATAGCTTCCGATTGACTAGCATCCAACCGAGCTTTAAAAACATTTAGTGGCACCAGATTGTTCAGTTTCCATTTAATTTGCAGACTATTC